CTTTCAATGAAGGCAGCATTATTTCACTTCTGTCTCTTGATAGACCTTTTGCAAACTCTCATCCTGCTTTGCAAAAAACAACTCTCACTGAAACAAATGTCTCACATACTCTGCGGCTATTTGAAACTCAAGGTACCTCAAAAATGCAGAGATCTATGGGCACTGTAACACAGAAAGATTGTTCAATTAGCGGTGATAACACTTTCGTGATGCAAACTTTGTCTGAGCTTTTAAATCAATGTCAAGTAGACAGTGACTTGAAAGGCACGACACCAACATCAAAATTGAAAGCTCATCGTGATGGTCATTTACCTAAAGCTGTCAATTTCGTTCCTTTACTCGAGTGCCACATTTTGCATTACATTGAACAGAGAACAGAAACGAGTGATGACAACATCCTAAGCACTTGTTTGCCCAGAGGCTCTCCAACACAAGATTTTTCAGAACTGAAGGATGGCTTGGGGTGTGAAAGTGAACATGCTAAGAATCTTGCCACCTTGCAGACAACAGCTTTAGTTGCACTGAGACTTCTAAACATTCTTGTGCTGTACAGCTATGAAGTTTGTGAGTGCATTTTAAAGTCAGCCAGAGCATATAGTGATAGCAGTGAAGATGACGATGTCAAAGTTATGGAAAGAAAAGGCGAAACAACGAAGGTAGAAATCTGTCTGTTCTGTGTGTTTCTCTCTCTTCAATTTTGAAACATCCAGCAGTTGGGTGAATAAAGAACTCATATCAAGTAAAAATTATTCTCAGAACAAAGTTTAACAGGACTGTATAACAGTCAGTAAAGAGAATTCATGTTTCTTTATTGGGACCTTCAGGAGTGATCCTAACAGTGATTAATCCTTTAAGAAATAGAAAACATGTACCATGTTTCTATTGAGTTACAGAAACAGAAGTGGAAATTTGGGAGAATGAGAAATGCTGTGGGAACACAGGCTGCAGGCGATTGTTTCCACAGCTTTTTCGAGTTCTCCCAAACGTTCATGAGTGTTTCTTTAAATGTCCCATCAGGCTGGTGCTTATCTCCAGTTTCTGTAGAATGAAGTAACTAGGAGTATTTGTACTTCCCTGTGGATGGGTTGCTAGTCCATCGCAAGGTTACCTTCAGCAATAAATTTGGGAGCACACTAACCATGAGGCCACTGCACCTCCTGACCTACCTGTGTGGAACTTTTAAGAAGTAGAAATTAATAATCCTCCTTTTACCACTTGAAAGGTAAAGCAATTTTCCAGATTTGGCAAGCAGAGTACAGGCAAATTATATTGTATCTGCATCTGTTATTAATGACATGTCTTTTTCCTGTTGGTGTCTTTTTTCATAGAAGAAGATATTTTCAAGTAAAGAAGTTGAAGGCTTTTCTCAGCATCCACTGTTCACAAGTCATAATATTGCCATCAAAAAAGTGATTAATTCTGAAGTGTAATATTTTGTGCAAAATATTTTTACCTTAAGTATCTTTTTATGTAACACCATTTTATGTGTGCTTGCATGAAGTATTATGTTGTTTTAAATACCGGTAACTAATCATGAAAAAAGAAGTTTTGTTTCACAGTTTTTTCTAAACATCGTGGTTTTTCTTGACAGAGAGATGCTGTATACTGCTTTGGAAACTGGGATAAGTGATGCATACATGGGCTTACATAACTTAATTTACCCTTGGGTTAATGAGGCTGATTTGGCCTCTAAGAATAAGATATGCTGAATCTTTACTGAGAAGCAAATAATTACAGGGCTGTCCATGAGGACCATAACCTATAACACCTGCTATGGCTGAGTGTGCTTCATGGGCTTTTGATGTTTCAAGTGAACTTGCCTGTAGTTGATACAATTTACACATAAACGAACAAGTTTGTGGCGGGTGTGAAGGTCAATGCTACAGGTGAATCAAAATGTAATGACAGCCCTGTAATATTATATACATGTTAAAATGTGGGGAGAAAGCAACAACAACAACATAATTACCAGGTGTGCACCAGTGACCCTAGGGTTACAATGACAAGACAATTGTGCTAGATATTGATTAATTTGCATTTCTTCTTGAATAATTCTTCTTTTGTTTATCCAAGAGTGCAGGTGTAAGTTCACACAGTTCAGATTCCAGCAAGCAAATGGTAGAAGTTACTACTTTGAAAGGTGTGGTGGAAATTGTGTGTTCTCATGATGTTATTGTCAATATTTGTTTTGTAATTTGCCAGTCTGATTTATATAACACAGAGATCTTGCATTATAGTGAAGCTGATGTATTTAACAAATAAAGAAGCCTAAGCCGTGTATTACAGTGATAAAACACGACGGGTATTTGAGAGCACAAGGGAAATGTAGAAAACAAGCTGCATTTCTCAAGTGTTCTCAAATGTCTGGAGTTTTATCACAGTGTAATACACAATTTAGGCTTCTTCATTTGCTTTATGATATAGAGGTAATGTGGCGGAAAACAATAAAACACGCTTTTTCTATGTTTTATACTCTGATGAAACATGGGTTTTTGACCAATCAGAGTGCGTGCAGGGTCCTATCTATATTATAAAAAGTTTATATGAACATGTAGTTGTAAAGAAAGTCTGCAAAAATTCAGTTTCCATGAGTATTAAAACCATGACCAGTGCAATTATTTTCAATTACTATTCAACTGAAATTGTTGACGCTTTTGTCTTTGTTTGATAGAGGAAGGAAAGAGTGAGCCTATTGTTCAACAGACAGAACTGCTGGGTTACTTATTCAAATTGTTGACACCTCACCAGGTCAGTGGGTTTATCAAGTAGTCAGTGTATCTAAAATATATCCAGTGATTTCTGGGAGACAGGTATGCTGACCTTGTACACGTATATCAGCTTAGCAGGTTGCATATCTCACTTGCACATGGAGACAGTGTGGCTGAGTGGTTAGAACGCCAGATTTGAAATCCGTAGGTCCCGGGTTCAAATCCCTTCTGACCGCCAGCTGATGTTGTTCTCAGTAGCCCCGAGTTCAATTTCTTGGCTACACTTGTAAATAGCCAACTGGTCTGCCTCCCGCCAGCTTGGATTCTTAACCTAGTTATGTTTATTTGAATATTTATTTATCATTGTTTGTTTACATTGGTCCTGAAAAGCCCCAATGGGGAGTGGCCGATAAGTATACAATCATACAGACTGCATACATTTTATAGAATAGTAATCCTCAATAATTTCAGGTAATTTATTTTTGGAATGTCTCAATTTTCACAGCATTGTAGAGATACCTTGTTTAAATGTTGTGATGTTCTCCTTTGCTTAGAGAGAATCTATGAGTGTTGTTTTCACTGCTCTACAAGTCTTAACATCTTTGGCACAAAACTGTGAAGCCAAATTCTACCCAAGGTTTGTGAATACCATACTTTGAGTACTGTTTGTGTATGCCAGTACAATTGTTTAAATATTGGAGATTTTTTGCATAACTTAGCTTGCGTTGAAGTTTAAATCAGGCCTTTTGATGAATAAATAGGCAGTGTTTAGCTCATAGCCAATGCTACATGTGGAAATTACATGAATCAAAAAGGACTGCAGATTTCCTTTTAATTTTAGTTTTGCAAAACTGTTGAGGAGACCTCTGGACAAAAATAACATTCTTACCTGATTAATGTGGAGGTGCGGTGGTCTCATGATTAGTGCACTCGTCCCTAGATCGAGCGGTCCGGGTTCGAGTCCTGGCTGGGGACACTGTGTTTTGTTCTCAGGCAAGACTCTTAACTCTCACATTGCCTCTCTCCACCCAGGAGTATAAATGGGTATCTGGGAATTGTTGTGGAAACCAAACAAATTGTGGGGGAGTGACCCATGATGGACTAGCATCCTGTCCAGGGGGAGTAGAAATACTCCTAGCTGCTTCATGCAACAGAAATCAGGATAAGATCCGGCAGCTATGAGCCAGTCGGCTCCAAGGCTTCACACTCACACCTGATTAATAGTATTATTAAGGTTGTTAATGATGCCTGTCTGCCTGACAGCATGGTTAATAGTGTGCAGAAAAGTTTTTTCTATTGCTCTTGGTTGAAATAAAGGGTTACTTTATTATTTTAGAATGCTGCCATTACTGTCTGACAGTCTGCTGTCTCAGTGTCTGTCTAGAGACTGGAGTCTCAATTCTCTGTCTTTGGTCACGTTGCTCCTTACTCCTCTAACAAGACACAGTGGTATTCTGAAAAGACTATGCTCTAAGTCAGGTAAAACATACTACTTAACAGTGGGATCCAGATTTTTCAAACTTCCAACCGAATGAAAATTGGTTAGAAAAATTGGATAGCTAGAAAGAAATCAGGAGTGAAATTACAGTGTTTGACTGAGGAGGGGAAATGACATTTGGTATGAGGTATCGGGAGGTAAGATAAAATGAGGGTTCGAGAAATCGGGATTCCACTGTATTATCAATGATATGAAAACTCAAGTGCTAAGCTACATCTTTGACAAGCATATTTCTCCTGTAGAAAGCAAATTGTAGTAATTTTGAGTTCTCCCAATTTCACTAAATGTGTTTGCATCAGGCAATAGCTTTTTGTTTTTAGCTTGTAAATGTTCAAGTTTAATACTTGTCTGTCGATGCACAACAATTTACCGCAGTGTTATCAAATTTCAAACTTAAGCTCTTTTGTTATTTTTTGTATAAAATAGATGACTGTGTCTTACTCAAGATTTATCAGGGATGGAGTTTCACACCTGATGATGTTCCTGTCATTCGTTATCAACAAGTTCATTTACAGGTAAGTTTTATTTGATTGAAAGAAGTGCATATAATAATTATGAGAATCTAGAATTTCTTAATTTCACTTTGCTACTCAAAAAGCTTCAGACCCTGGTGCTTTGATTGAAATTTTGTGATGCATTTCAGGGATTTAAGTAGAGTTTTTGTTTGCTCGTTTTAAGGCCAAACAGAAATTTGGTATCGGAACACTTGAAACAATAGAGCAACTTGGCCAAACTGTTGGGAAAAGAACTTTTGAATGCGGTCTCTACTTTAGAACTCTATAACAAATGGTGACCAAGTATATTTTTCGATGTACCCTACTCAATAACTCAAAATCGAGCCTTTCCACTTTTCAGAAAATGATGATTAAGGTTTTATCGCAATAATACTCAATTAGCAAAGCTGTTGCGCATTGGTGACTAAATAGTTACAACCATATTAACAATTGCGGTAGCCTCATCTAACAGCCTGGTGGTTTTTCTGGAGGTCTCCCCATCCTGCTTAGGTTGTTGTAGTTAATAAAGACTTTTTTAATGGTAAATAAATAATGATGATCATGATAATGATGTTGTCAATGAACTCAGGTTCTTAGATTATCCTGGCTCACAGCTAATGCTTATGAAAACTATTGTTAAATAAACATAAGCTGAAAACTCTGTCTTGATGATTCCCATGACATAATTTTTAAATAACATAATTATAATATTATTATGTGTTTTGCACACATGTAGTAAGTGATTTAGATTACAATTTGATCATGTTAAAATAGAATAATGATCAGCATTTATTTGATTTTCATCCATAGATCGTTGGCTTTGTTAATAACCTGCTGAAAAACAATGACTCGTCAACCTTATTATTTCCTCTGGAGAGTGAATGCCATTGCAGTCTTGAGGTGAAAACATTTTGCAGAAGGCAGCATTGTTTTATTTTCAAAGAATTCAGTGTCTTTACTATCTTAAAATTCAAAGTACATTCAGTAGATGTTAAGGGTATTACTGTCATAGTTTATTATGGTCACGCTATGATAAATTCATGTTTGGATGCAAAGTGTTGTGGATATTTTTTCCCATCGGATGTGACCTTTCATGAACATGCTTGACTGGTTATATTTGAGTTTGGCAGTTTTTGCTCAAATGTGTTAAATTAGTGAACACTAGGAAAGATGAATTTACATCAAAGTATGTTATTGCATTTTGGGACAAACTCTTTTTTCTCTTCTGTTCTGACTGAATTATCAACTCATTTTGCAGCTCATCAAATGCCTTGTGTTGATGCTGAACAGAGTAGTCAACTCCCTCGGCAATTCTTCAGCTGAGTCTCTAATTAAGCATGCAAAAGACAGGTGAGTTAATTTCTGTCAAAATTAAAAAAAAAATACACACACACACACACACACACAAGAAATTCAACCATTGCTTTATTCTGTGTTAATTTATGACCAAGGAGAGGCACGGTGGCCTCATGGTTAGTGCACTCGACTCTGGATTGAGCAGTCTGGGTTCGAGCCCTGGCCGGGGACACTGTGTTGTGTTCTTGGGCAAGGTGTATAAATGGACACTGGCAAATTTAAAGCTGAAGGTAACCCTGCAATGGACTTAAGCATACCATCCAGGGGGGAGTAGAATTACCTACCTAATCTATGACAATCATTTTTAAAATTCTACATAACAGTATTATGTTGTACCATAGTCTTCATCTTATCTCAAATGTGGAATTTTTCAAATTTAAATTTTCAGCTTTAGTCTGGTGTTGTTGCGGCAGGGTGTTTTCTTATTGTCTACTTTATGTCTCAATGATCGTCTTTTTGTTGAGCATCGAGTTGAAGTGGAGCATCAGTATATTCATGTTGTCAGCAGTGTAACGAGACTTTACAAGCAGATTGCTGCTGTAATTTCAGAGGCTGAAGGTAATATTAATGTACTGTAACACAGTTAGTTTAGAGTGTAAGTTCAAAATATTAATAAAGATAACTGAGATTTGAGGATACATCCCAACATCTCCCAGTTTTGATGTAATATATCACACACAAGAGACAGTGTTTCATCAGGTTATCCAAACACCAAGAGGAGAATCGAAAATACGACGCACAGCAGAGTATTTTTGACGAAATTTGAGGTGTTTGGATAGCCGATGAAACGCTGTCTTGAGTGTTTGGTATATCTTCTCAATTGAAACAAAAACTATGGAGTAAACGGAGGAGTAAAATCATCAAAATCTATGCTAATTAAGACCGGGTATCCAAACCTCCTTTGTGATTGTGATTATCTTTGTTTTTACTTGATGAGTTATGAATGAGTTTGGGAAGTTTTTTCCATTTAATCTCCTGTCTGTTTGACAGTGTGGTGGTATTGTAAAGAGATGTTGATCACCCTTGGTAGTTGAAAATGTGATATGACTAGGTTAAGATTTGTTTAACTCCAGGTCAATAAGTCTGTGTTTAGGTGTGGGCAGTTCCTTTATAAGAGAGGGAACTTTAATTTAAATTATGTTCAGAGTACCTCTTACCTCCACATGCAGAATTTTATTGTTGCCATAACCTGGCATTACTTATGGTGGATTAGAATTTCACTTAGGGGGATACTTTATCAGGGTGGAGGACTATGCAACAAAGCCAAAGACTAAATTCAACTTTTGATCTACATGACTGCCTGATACACCCACTGGAGAAAAATGAACTTACACTGTACTAAATTAGTAAAACTGCATGGTCTCAAACCATAAACTACTTGACATTTGATAACATGTCACTCATCACCATACCAGGTAAATGCCACACAACGAAAGAGACATGCTCAGGGGTTTCATGAAACATTTTCAGCAGGGTTACAACTGGTTTCCACAGGCAGGCAAAACTTTTTGGGCTGAGCTTCTTTATAAAAGAAAAACTTTCCTCTAGATGGTCAAGCCAGGCGGGCAAAATCATCCTCACAGCTGGTCAATTTGCCCGATGCCCAGCCCTTAATTAACCCCTGTTGGTCTCCTGAACAGCCAGATTTTCTAGTGGCTTCATGTTATTGTTCAAAAAAATGTGTGCAATACAATTTATTATATTGACAACCATTTGTGTTTTGAGAAAAAAATGTTCTCTAACTTATTTTACTAGATTGTTGATTTACATTTTTATTATTGATTGTTTGATTGTTTGAGAGTACAAAGAATGATTGTAGTGCTGTGCACACTTGGCAAGGACAAACCTGTTAAATGATGGGCATACTTTGTTTGTTTCTTTGCTAGTTCTTGCTGTTCAAGAACTTGTGGATTTTGAGCACGTTGATGGAATTGAATGGTCACAGGAGTCCGAAGATGAAGAAGATGAAAATGTTGAGGGGATGGATGTTGTTGAGTGAAAGAAAAAAAAAAACTGTTAAATAAACTGTGGACAGGAGTAATAGTTTAAAGCTAAAGCAGAAAGGTTGATGCCTTAGCTTCATTAGTTTTACACTTGTCTAAAATTAAACCAGGTGGTATAGTCCGGTCCAGTGCCTTACAAGTGACATACTTGCAATGTATTGATCACCATTTAAGTCCCTCACTGATCAACATCCATTTTACTGCAGAAAACTATTGAACAAAACCATCAACAAATGATACTTAATCTTACATTTTTCATTTTTGAGTTCCTGTTAATAAAGGTTACCATATACCTTAAGATCACTTTTAGAGGTGTGTCACGTCCAAGGGATGTAGCATGTTCGGTTTGAACTGTAGATGCCTAAACCCCTATATCAAATTAAAGCTTATAGAGCTGGCTATCACACTATACCAAGAATTTTGAAACAAAATATATTGTCAAATTTTTTGCAACCTTGAAATGTGAGGGTTGGAATTATCATATGGGTAACTTATGAAAGCTACAAGTCAAAGGGAATTTGTCCATTTGATCTCAAATTTGGACAGTGGCTAGGTTGTCATATAAACAAAAAATGTGTCTGGGAATTTTGTATTTCCAAATAGTCTTTCTCCGAAAGTGATTTTTCTATGGCTACTCCATATTTTTTTAATCCTATTTCGAAAAGTTCTGCAAATTTTCACTGAGAACGAAAATGCCATATTGCAAACATCTTTCTCTAGCACTTTTGGTCCGGAAACTGAAGAACAAATTAAATAAGTGAAAAACAACATTCGCTTCAATTTGTAGCTCTCAGGAGGTGATTTGGACGCTTGCAATTAGGGGTCATAAAAAATTCAACAATTCATTTTATTTCAAAATTCTTGGTATAGTTTGTTAGCCAGCTCTGTAAGCTTTAATTTGATATGGGGGTTTAGGTATCTACAGTTTAAACCAGACGTACTACATCGCTTTGATGTGAGACAACTCTAAAGGTATACTGTAACCTTAAGGGCATTATGTGTGTCCCTCCTCAGCAGTGGCTTCCTTCAGTTTTAATACAAGAATGTTTTTGTTGTTTTGTTGTAATGTTATTAGAGTCTTGGTACAGAGGGCTTTCACTTTTCATAGATAAATTACAAATCAAAGAGACTCTCTTTGCAGGGTACCTTAAAGATAAGCTAAAATGGTAAATTTTAATTTAAAGTATTGCATAAAAAAACCCAAGGTTTTGGGGTTCATAGGGTAGAGTCTGTATATACTGTAAATATGATAATGTTTCAGCCTAACACCTTTGGCTTGTGTTTTTAAAAGTAGTCAACTAATAGTTACAAGTTGATGTATAAATTAGCTCTGAGGTAATTTAGCATTCTGGAAATGGGCCATGAATTTTCTTCTGAGTGTTTGCCCTGGAAAGGTAAACGTTTGACCTTGACGTCTTCTGTAGTAAGTCACTATATACAAATATGAGCCCTGAATCTTAGAAAATCTCACCTGAGCTTGCTTAAGATATCCTTGAGTCATAAAACAGCTTTTTTCAAAATCTTGTAAATTGTTATGAAGTAAAGCTAAGTAAAGGATGCAAGGCAAGGGAATAGTAAATAAATTTTTTAGTTCATTGGCAATTTTTATTTTTTATTGTCTTTTTTGGTTTTTCAATTTTGATTTTTCAGTTGATTGTTATTTGTTTTGTAAAACACCTTTGGATGTAGTATATTAACATTTTCATAATGAAAACTTGTGGAGCAGTAGACATAAAGCTCATCTGCTGCCAATGTAGCCCAGTTCTGGTGCTATATGTGGGCTGATTTTGTTGCTCAACCTGATTATAGGACCTGGATAGGACCTACATGAAAACCAGCTGGAAGTGATGTGGCTTCCTTTCTAAAAGTTGGAATTTATTACTATTACACAGCATTTTCTGTGAACAGTAAAAGTTTGTAGCTTGCAGTTATTCATCCTAGCCTTACACTAAACTTGTTTTAAGAATCTGAACTGTGATAACAATACATAAGGAACTAGTTTAGGATTTGAGGAGAGTTAAGGTTAGACCATTATATTTTTGAAGGGAACTGGGTGATTTTTCTGACCTAGAATCCTTTTTTTCAGGATCAAGTTGAGCACATTTTTTTTTCAATTTGTTCAACATGGGTCTTTCTGGCTCACTTTGCACAATTTAATTTTTTGTCTCGTTCCAATTCGTTTTGGCAATTGCTAACCCCCAGGCAATTGCCTGGCCAACCCCCAAACCCGAAATTAAAAATATAAATGGTCTCTTACATTACACACCCTTGACACACCCCACTACCAACCTCCAGAAAAATGCCCATGCATGCCTTGCGTGCATTATCGTTCCCAGAACTCTTCGCAAGGTTGGTTTTTGGCGGTCAACCTGTTGTTTTGCTGCTAGAATGGCGTTCGCTCGCATTTTGTCCGTTATAGTTCGGGAAAAGCTCCCATTTCAACAGCTAAACTTAAGTTTGAATCGGGCCGTTGTAGCGTGTGGATTTGCCACTCGCAAACAAAAGCCAACGAAGATTAAGCGTCCTCCCACTGCTTTTCAGATGTTTGCTAGTGCAAACCGCGCACGCCTTGCCGCAGAAAATCCTCACAAATCACCGCGAGAAATCCAAAGCGCTCTGTCCCACGAGTGGAAAGAAATGTCAGAAGACGGAAAGAGCCCTTACAAGAAGGCGTACGCGGAAAAAATGGAGATTTATAATGCTCCTCTGAAGAAGTTACCGAAGAAACCTCCGACAAAGTATACTTTGTTTCTCCAGGAGAACTATGCCAGGGTCCAAGCCCAGTTAAGTCCTGGATCAGGGGGTCCTGCTGTTATGTCAGAGTTGGCCAAAGAATGGAACAGCCTTTCAAACGAGGAGAAGGATCAATTAGAACAGAAATGTGCCAAGATGAAGGAAGACTACAAGCTGCAAGTTATAGAATTTGGAAAAGGATTGACCGATCAGGAGCTTTCCTTCCTCAAGGAGAAACGAGGCCAAAAGATGCAAAAGCTCGCTAAAGAAATGCGACAGCTTTTGGGGTATCCTAAAAGACCGATATCTTCTTATTTTCGTTTTACGCAAGAGAACCTTGGGGAATTGGAAAATGAACCCCTGGTTGAGCGCGTGAAAGTTCTGGGACAGAAATGGAGGGAGATGACCGATGACGAGAAGGAGGTGTACAAGGAGGAAAGCCGAAAAGAACACGAAAAATACAAGAAGGATGTGGCAGAGTGGAAACAAAAGCACCCGAAAGCTTTACAAATGGCACTTTCAAAGTAAAAAAGATACTAAATACTTTGAAATTGAGTTTTCCTGCCTCCTCCTGAAAAAAAACTAAAGGGGGAGGGGGNACACTCATATCGTTACTAATAGTTCATACTAGGTTAGGATGAGTTCTCTCCCGAACTTCAAAGTTTTCTTAACTACATGACAACTTTGCCACATTTAAATATATGTAGATTACCTAGGATTATTAGTTGTAAATGTTTCAAGCAGTTGTACCATTATATTACCTGACAACTCAACCCACCTGTAGGACTTGTAGTCTTAGCTCTTTACAAATTAGGCATTTAAAACAAGAGGGACTTGTCATTCCATGAGGACGGAAATTAGTTGCCCTCTTTTGTAAAATTTAGCTAAGGCCCTGTCCACACTGCCAGATACAATTGAAAACAAACAGCATTTTCACTCTGAAAATGCTTCAAATGTTTTCCGTCCACACTATGCCAGAGAAATTCGAAAACACAACAATTGCCATCATTTTGTATTTTGTATTTGAGGAAGAAATCGCATGATTATTGTGATATCATCATTTTGGAAAAGCTCCATTTCTAAAATGTTTTCTGTCCACACTAATACGTAATGGTCAGCATACGAGAGGGGACCAGTCCCCACGACTTGTCCCTGTAACTAGTACACTGAAGAATTACATGAAGGGACTGGTTGCAGGGACTTGTTCCATGAATAGTTCACACTAAGCATCTTGAGCAACAAGTCGCAGGCACTTGTCACAAAAATTCAAATCAGTCTCAATTACTGGGACTAGTCACAGGGACTAGACTTTGGTCCCTGCAACTAGATTTTGTGTCAAAAATAGCTAGTTCACATGATAGGATTTGACCCTGCGACTTTTTGCAGGGCTGACCAGTCGCAGGGACTAGTCATGTCTTGTCTGCCGACCTCCAAGCTGGTGTTTTCAAATACTTTTGGTTTGAATAGCGTTTTTGAAACGTTCCATTTTTGTGGTGGAGAAATAGAGCTTTGTTTTTAAATGTCTCTGGTGTAGTGTGGACGGGGCCCAAGTGTTCAGTTACATATTTTGATTCTGACTTCTTTCGGTTTGATCAGTTTGCTTTAAATTCTCCTCCGATACAGGTGTCTGTTGTAAACGCTGTAGTAGACCTTGACACTTCTTGATTTAATGTATTTGGTAATTCCTTAGTTCAAAACAAAATCAAAATAAATTGTTTAGTCATCAATAACCTGGAGCCAAGACAGAATTGTTATTTTATTAATAATACAACTGACACTGCTACCTTATTGGTACTTAATTTCGGGGGCACTTAATTTCACGAATTTGGCGAGACTATTTTCCGTGGTTTTATTTTCGTGATTTCAATAGGCAAATATGAAAAAAGGGTATTAAATTTCGCGATTCAAGCGTTCTCAACCTCACTTTATTTTTAAAAAGTCTGAACTGACGACTACACGAAAGATATTCTAAGGGATTTGTATGAATCTAACGATTCAGATAAAGATAATAGCTAGATCCTCTACTCACTCTATTTTTGCAAATTAATGATATTTCACAACAGAAGATACAAAATGGAACTTACCAGTAAAANCCAAGACAGAATTGTTATTTTATTAATAATACAACTGACACTGCTACCTTATTGGTACTTAATTTCGGGGGCACTTAATTTCACGAATTTGGCGAGACTATTTTCCATGGTTTTATTTTCGCGATTTCAATAGGCAAATATGAAAAAAGGGCATTAAATTTCGCAATTCAAGCGTTCTCAATCTCACTTTATTTTTAAAAAGTCTGAACTGATGACTACACGAAAGATATTCTAAGGGATTTGTATGAATCTAACGATTCAGATAAAGATGATAGCTAGATTCTTTACTCACTCTATTTTTGCAAATTAATGATATTTCACAACAGAAGATACAAAATGGAACTTACCAGTAAAACAAGTTAATAATTTGTGTATTTGCCGATACATATTCTATATAATTATGTTGTTGTTATTACATGTTAATCATTTTTTTCTGTGATGTGAATTTTTTATGGATATTGAATTTTGCGAGGATTTTTATTCGCGGGTCTTTAATTTCATGATTCATTTACAATCCTGCAAAATTAAGTACCAATAAGGTGGTTTGAACTTGGTTATTCTGAACTTGAAGCCATTTTAATTCCCGTGGATATACCATTGCCTGCTACACTTTGGATAATTTGAGTAGTCCGGGTTCAAGCCCAGGCTTGAATTGTTGGGCTTTGTTCTTGGGTAACATCCAACCTCCAACAATCTCTCCATCCAGGTGTAATCAATC